AAATGGAACAGGCACGCGGCGAGATTAAACCATAGCAACAACCAATCACCGGGTAGGAATGGGGGTATGAAACTGGATCCTCATCTCGGGGCAGCCCCACTTTAATCATACATCAAATTACAATTTTATGCGAATGATTTGATCGGTAACGTTGCAACCCTTTCCCCCCCCGTGCGCATGAGACGATGTAGGGAAAATACTAGTAGTAAGAAAACTTGGCCAGGTTTTTTTTCCCCTGGCGTATTGCGGTTTTACATTGGTTCGGTATATTAACTAACTAATTATTATGGAGTATGGGTATGGTTGAGTATCTGTGCGATGGTCCCAGTTCTCCGTAAGTCCAGACTTTCTCCAACATAAGATGATTCCTTCCCCTCCCTCGCCGTCTTTTTAATTCCCTCTTCCTCTGTTCACTCGGTAGACCGCTCTGTACATTCTTTACATTCGCTCTCTGTGTCAAGAGACCATTCGTTTCACTACCCAGTCGTTCTTTTACATTGCGAATAGATTTCGCATCCCACTCTCGTTACTTGATTAGCGCAGTCTCTCCCTCTGAAGAGAAGGAAACACACAAAAATCTCAATATCAAAATCCGTATCTATCGATATCAAAGACATTGACTGTCATCGTACAACATCAAACAAAATGCAATTGAACAACAAGATCTCCGTCGCTCTGTTGGCCGCTCTGGCTGCTGGTTCTGAGGCCAGCCATGCCCGCAACCACAAGCTCTTCCATGCCAGGAACGTCAACTCGACGGTGTCCACCTCATCGGTGTTTGTCTACCCGACCCCGTTGTTGACCCCCAGCTCTTCCGTGCCTGCCTCGTCTTCTCCTGTTGGTTCTTCCCCCGTTGCTTCTTCTTCGGCTGCCGGATCTTCCTCCATCGCCGCCTCCTCAACCTCGGATGCCAGCTCGTCTGTCATTACCCAGGCTCCTCCTCTCAGCACCGGTGTCCCTGGATCCTCTGGCGCTGGCAATGACAACACTGGATCAGCCACTGATATCACCATCACTTATACCCTCGGTACTGGTACTACTAAGAGTGTTGTCACGACCACTATCCACAAGACCGCCACTAACACCGAAACCATCTACACTGTATGTTCACCCTTTAGAATTGCTGTCTTACCCAGGAGTGTTTAGACTAACCTTCATCACAGAAGAGCCCTGCTGTTCCTTCTGCCGGTAGCGAGGAGCAGACCACTACTCTTCACTCCACCTCTACTTCTACCCTCACCGTTGTAGATGTTCCTTCTTCTTCTGCTGCACCTGGCAACGCTGGCAACGGCGGTAGCGAGGCTTGCACCGGACAGGCCACCGTCACCGTTACTGCCACTGTCACTGAGACCGTCACTGGGGTATGATTGATTTGTTTGCTATCCCCTACTTTTTCCAGCTGCTAACTAGATTTCTAGGCTCCTAGCGCTACTGCTAAGCCCGGCGATGACTACACCAAGCCCCATGACCAGGACCACCAGGAGAAGCCTGGAAACTCTGGAAAGCCTGGCAAGAACAGCGGTAACAACGACGAGGACGAGGATGAGAATGACCAGGGCGAGAACAACAACAACGACGACGACGACGGTGCTGAGAGCACCAAGGCTCCTCTCCCTGTCCCTACCCACACTGGACGTCCTCCGTTCGGCAACGGCACCCTCCCTATTACTACCAGCGGCGTCGCCAAGCCCACTGGCTTCTTGACCAGCAGCAAGCACGCTTTCCCCACCAACTTCCGCCGCTCCCACTAGACTAATGGATCGCACGACGACTTCACTGGTCCCCAGAGCGTGGATATGACCGTCTGTAACTAAAGATTTCATTTCGTGGCGAACCGCGCGCTGGCACTATACCTTATGAGGGAGATGCTGTTTTACTTCTGGTACAAACTTGATTTAGACATTCTTACATACCTTTCTTCACCTATCTGGCAGGGCAACCTGACCGGTGGTTCTTCGCTTCTTGCAATTGGGATCGACCAGGTCCTACTTTAACCAACAAAGCTTTCTTCTTTTCTACCTTCTGTCTCTCCCCTCGTGGTGCACTTTCTTGAAATCTTTGTATATCGGAATGGCCCTCTACGGTCCACTGGGCTTACGGTCAAACAACACAAGGGGACACCAGTGAGAAGGGGAAAGTCGTATCCCGGAGTTGGGTCTGTACAAAAGATTCTTTGGCCGACTACGGGAGTAAGACGTCTGAACCAACCTGCGACGCCAAGAAAGAAACATGATGAACTCTATGGATATGGATATGAGAGCGAATTATTTCGATATGTATCTCCTCTATGACAGAAATCCACAAGCTTGGGTTAAGGTTACGTATTCTGCACATGAGTAGTTGTAGAGAAGAGTCACGTCGATAAATTAGGTGTTCTCTGCCTAGCTTGCGGCAGTTATAGATTAAGCCTGCGCCAGCTATGGACCGAAGAGCAAACTAGACATACGAATATATTACACGTAATATCTCCACACTATATATACATATAGTAATATACATCATAGAAATACAAACAAAGGTCCACCATCAAACCATTTGCACCACTCACTCACTCAATTAATTTCCAAAGCCCCCTCCCGCAAGAGACGATCCCGCATGATATGCCAATCCAACCACGTCACGCCCTGCAACAGACAATCCGCCAAATCATCCAATTTCCCAATATCAGCCACACCCACCGCTCCCCGTCTCCTCTTCTTCCCCTTCCACTTCGCCAAATACGCCTCAACCCACCTCTGTAACTCCTCATCCCCCGAAACAGCCACCTTCAAGTCCCGCTCCCCATCCGCAAGCGCATCATCCAACCACCTCCCAACCAAATCCATCTTCACCTTCTTCCCCTCCCTCGCATTACTACTACTACTACTACTACTACTACTACTACTACTACTACTTCTCCCCTCCTCCTCCTCCTCCTCCTCCTCCTCCTCCTTCTTATTCTTCTTCTTCTTCTCCACTTCCTCCCCACCAAGCCTATCCCCCCAATACCGGACCACGCGTTGCGGCTCCACGCCGAGCACCACCGGCGCAGAACCACAGGAAGAAGTTCCCCCCCTCTTCCCCCTTGCCCTCTCCCGCCGCAACGCATACAAAACAGCATACAACATACCCTCAAAGACACCGACCCGCAGCGTCCACTCCTGGACCGCACTGCCGCCTCCTGAGCGGAATCTCTGTCTCTCAATGAGGACATGCGTAGGTTGGTATTTCTCCAGGAGTGTGGTAATTAGTATATACGCCTGTTTGGCGTATGGCGAGGGATGGAACATCTCTTTTCCATCTTTGTCCTTTTGGCATGCAAATTCGTTTAGTTCATCGATATCAGATGAATCTGTGCCTTTTATTGACCCCAACTCTAGTAGAGAGGGTGAGGGTGAAGAAGGTTCAGGACCAGATGGTAGTAGTAGATCCGAGACAGCTAATCTGCGCCAGGCGTTTAGGGTTGGTGTTGTTATACTCGCCGTCCCTCTAGTGGTAGATTGGGGACGAGGGACGAGAAGATGAGCGAAGGCGAGGTTGCGGATGCCCATGTCAATACTGAGGATACTTAGATTTTGGTTCTTTGGTTTGGTCTTGGTCTTGTTCTTGGAGACTAAAGATGGAGATGGATACTCGCATTGGGCGAGTTCGGTCTCCAGTCGGTTTATTAGGGCTGCCTTGGGACCGGCGGACCGGATGCCCGTAGCTTGGGCGATCTTTTGGAGTTGGGATGCTTTTAGAGATGAGAGCCATGTTGATGATGGTGGGTTGAGAAGCGCGGGGGAGTAGCGCATGATATAGTTTGGAGATGTTTTGGTAGATGTTTTAGGGGTGTTGGTCTCATCGGATTGTGATGTTGATTTTTTTTAACTTGACATGGGGGATAATAGATAGATAGGATATGCGATGGATATATAATTAATTGAACTTTTTAACTTATCTGATCTACAGAGGATCTCGGGCTTACATAAGATATAGTTAGGAGGATCTAACTTACCACAATACATAGTAGTACTGCTCCGTACACAATGCCGATCATGTATATACATACCTGTAGGGGAGCCTTGGAAAAAGCTGAACATTGTACGTACAGTACAATGCGGCTGTTATTTGTTAACTTGCACACTCCCATCCTGTTTGCATTATTCCCTCAACCCGCCACTCACTTGGGAAATTGTTCAAGGACAGCAGCAGCAGTAGTATTTTACTAACTGGGTAGTGAGTGACAAGCGAAGTACAGTAAATTGACAGCAAAAACAAAAAAGAATTGAGAAGAGATGAGGGCCCGAACCGCGATTCGAACGCGGGACCTCTCGCAGATTGTGCTGTATAAGCCAGCCCGCTGATAGATAATTAGAATCTGTTCATTTTTGATAGCGATATATTATGGAAGAACTTACAAGCGAGAATCATACCACTAGACCATCCGGGCAGATGATGTAATGTTTTCGGTGTTTATGGTTCATGTTTATAGAATGTTTCATTTCACAGTGATGGAACTTTTTTTTATTCTCTCTGTTACATCAACTCACTCGGAATACTGGAAACCCAGATTAGCTGAAAATCCTGATATCTGATATATCCCGTTAGTTGATTGATAGCCGCAATGGTGGCCAAGTTGATTTGCTATACAAATTTGTAAGGAATCCTAGATCTTGAGGGATTGCATCGATGATCAAAGGCGTATACAAATTTGCAAAGAACGGTAGACTGTGAAAACTTTAATCCGGTGTTGTGCTTGGTATCGATATAACTACTAATGTAGACAGTACACGTGACATTAGGGATCCACTTTCGTACTTGGAAGCCGAGGAAAGCCCTATCCATCCTAAAACAGTAACCACGATTGACTGATCATTCATCGCCAAGCAAATTTTTAAAAGGCTCGAATACAATGTAGGTACAACCTAAGCCCAGTTTATGATGTGTACATGGAGTGCCATCATTCAGTGTTGCTTTTTGAGCATGAAAGGATGAAAAAAATACAAAAAGAAAGTTTTGTAGGATGAAGGCCCGAACCGCGATTCGAACGCGGGACCTCTCGCAGATAGAACTGTTAAGCCAGCCCGCTATTATGTCTATTAGTATTTATTGATGAAACAGATGATTGTATTAGGAGAACTCACAAGCGAGAATCATACCACTAGACCATCCGGGCATTTCATGACATTTCCTTTAGCAAAACGCACATAGATCCATAATATAGCATTGCGCAGCAGGTGAAAAGGCCACATGGTTATTAGTGATTATAATTACAGACAGGAACATTTCTTCAGGTAATGCAGCAGTTAATACAACTAGGTTTACAATACGGAGTATATTGCCTACTTTATCTTGACTTGACTCATTCAATACAAGTACTTCTTGATGGCAATAACGACCCATTTTCTATAGGGTATCAGAAAGAACCTACTAGTATTTTAGGACTACGCTACAATTCAACCTAAGTGACTAGTCTTTCGTTGGCTGCATATCAATTAATTAAACCTGCACCACTAGTTATATTTAAGCTATTAGGATTATATATATTTATTGTACACACTTTATCCTCTGAATCAATGCGCAGGTAAACAAGGCCTCTCACTTCTATTCAAACATGTCCCAAAGTGCGAGATGCCAAAAAGACGAACACCGCCAGATGCCAATCGGCCTTTTAATGTATGGAAATTTTCCCCAGTTGACGCCAGAACCAATAACTACCAATGCAAAAACGCTGAATTGCATGTCACGACGAGCGAAAATAAAATAGGAAAGCAAGGAAACAAATTATCGGATGAAGTAGAGAAGCCTTCATGACGCTATGTGGGCACATCCGCGCAGAGCATCATGCCATGTCATGATTGCTCATCGCCACGTCGGTGGGCGACACTCTTTCGCGTACGTAGAGGATAGGTGCCCAGACTCGCCAGTGGAGGACACCCATATGCGCGAGTCTCATGGCAATCCGTTCAATACCATAGTGTTGCTGTGATACTGGCGAGTGGGGATGGCTTCGTTGAGACTCGCAGATAGCCAGAGGTGACATGGTTAGGTACTGTTGTGCAAAGCTCATGGTGGCCGCCATTAAGTTTTCGCGCCACAAATTCTGGAAATGTTGGAAGAGTTCTGACTCGCCTAGCAGATGGGTTTCCAGCTGATTTTCAATACGGGTCATGACGCTATCTGGGACCATGGTTATATCGCAATTATATACCTTGCACGCAGAATGCGCGATTTCCAATGCAATGCACCGTATATTTTTCATCCATTGAGGCGATCGTCGCCTGCAGTCCTCACCCTCATCGATCAAGGGCTCGATGCGAGACCGGAAGGTAGCGTATGCTTGTGCCTGAGCTGGATGATATCGTTTGAGCGGATTAACGCAGCGTTGAAAGACTTCCCAGCAGATGTCAAGGGTGATTAGGCTCTGAAGACATGCCCGCAACTGCCACAGGCGGTCGGAGTCGAAGATAAAAGTTTCTGGGAAACTTTCCGGAGTATGGAACTGTAGCAGGAGATCTGATAAACCGCCAAACAAAATCGCAAGGGGTCGGAGGCTGTTCGGCTTTTCCATCCTGCTCAAATCTCGTTCACGTAGTTCTTGGTACCATAGTCGTGACGACTCCACGCAGAAGTTATCCCTTTCGACTTTGCTGCGAAAATACTCTTGAAGAAATGGTATAGTGTCTTCTATAAGTAGAACACGGAATGCGCGGATTTGATGGTTTGCAACGTCCTGTCTCGAAGCATTAGTGGTTGGTTTCTTCCTGCCCTAATTGTACCCGCCGAGAGTCCGATGCCTTACCAATTTCATAGCCTCTAATATCGCAAACAGAGTTTGGAGACCACGAACAATCTCCAAGGAATTCTGCGATCGTGATCCTGAACTGATCTGTTCAACCATACGGTCTGCCCATTCATCGCGCATTGGGGCGCAGTGTGTTTTGAGCAATGCTGCAAGCCAATTCGCCACGTCTACCATATCAAGGACACCCTTCCGAATTTGCTGCATCAGCAAAGGTACCTCGAGATTTTGCATCACACTAGGGTGATCCCGTTCCGGGACGAGGGTTTTCAGAACATCCTGCAAGGTGTCAAACATAGACGGTAGTCGAGGCTCAAAGGTTTGCTGCTGGTCTGCCCACATATTGTCACATGGGATGAGCGGCTGACGAGCGGCACAGAATGCGTAGACAGTAATCTCGGTAGCCATGGCTTCCCAGTAGTCGGCAGCTTCCTGCCTTTTTCGCCGACCTTTCTCACCGTCTAAATCCGGTTTGAAATGGAGATCGCGGTCGAAGTTCGCATCCATGCGAAGGTTGATATTACTCATGATACAGGGCAAATCGAGCTCGCTCAGGGTGCTTTTGGTGACTGGGGGGTATCTCTTGGCCGTGAGCAATAAGTTATATTCCTCCACACTGAGGCCCAGCTCCTGAGGAATGCACATGGCTTGTGAGGAAGGCGAGGGGGTGTTACTGCAGGCGGGCTGTTGAACCTCCGGCGAAGCCTGGTGAATATCATGGTCGCAGGCAAAAGGACCCTGACGTTGCTGGTTTACCTGCGCCGGGTCTTTGTTTTTATTCGTATCCCGATGATCTAGAGAGTCGTTCTTGGGGGAATCTTTGGAGTGGCCGTTGCCTCCATATGGTTCCAAAGGACCCTCCGTGCTGTCCTCCTGCTTCCCGGGAGCGTCCCGCCGTGCCTCTTTGGTTCTTTGAAGGTCCATTTCCCATCCAGTCCCGTTGATAGCCGGGGGGTAGTCGCAAGTCTGGGTGGTTGAGGAAGCTCGTGGAACCCGGGGAGAACACGTCCTTAATCAGTAATGTATGAAAGAAGTGTGGAGCGTTAGATCGTGGGGGTCACGGGCATTTCTCTATTGATGGACGCAAGGCACCGCAACCCTCCACACTGTCGGCGGGGCAATTAGATGAAAGAGATCCCCTTCTCCAACCCTTTCAGTTAGTCCTTGCCTGAGGCCGAAGGGGGCATTACGGTGAGGAGGGAGGAAATAGTGCTCACCTGATGCGGGTTACCCGATGTCGATCAACCCTGTTGATACCAAGCAAAACCCCCCAAAAAAAGAATGATCTTCAATCCTCTCCAGATGATCTGTCTTTTGTATCGCACGAAGTTGCAATGGTTGCTACTTTCTTCCTTGTTCTCTTTCTTCCCCTTTGTTTTCCTTGCTCTTTTAGGGCCCTTTTCGGTTTCTCCCGCACTGAAAGAAGTATAAAGGGCACAAGCACGTCAACGGCGACCAGGGTCAAGTCAACTTGTCCACGAAGTAATCAAACCAGGAAAAAGCAAAGTTGAAGAACAGCCAATGGCTTTCTATGCGACCACTACCAAAAACTAGACAGGTTGAACGAACAAAACAAACGGTAGTGGGTTACAGTAATGCCGAAAGGGAGTACAGGTCAAGCCACTTCGTTAGCAAAATGGACGGGGATGGAAGAGTGTTGATATAAGCCAATGGTATGGGATGGAACTTAAACATAAGATCTGAATACAGCCATGGGACGGGAACAGAGGGAGAGAGGAGAGAGAGAGTTAAAAAAAAAAAAAAAAAAGGGAAAGAGTCGAGAATGATGAATTTCTCCACCCGACCCTAGAAGCATAGGATTCAAAGAGAGAGAGAGAGAGAGTGAGTGAGTGAGAGACTTGTCGGAAAGAGAAAGAGACGATGTAGACCAACCAAGGGTACAGAAAAGGCACTAATGTAATCGACGCTGGGTTCGGTTTAGTATTGAAATTGAAAGAAAGGATGAATGGGAACAGTATGAGATGAAACTATAATACTAGTAAAAGAAAATATTCTTAGCCCCAAAGAGCGCCACTTTAGATAACTTTTTCTTTCTTTCGGCTTTTCCCCAGGGCCACGAGAGGGAGGAGGAGGAAGGCAAAGTGAGGCTGATCCATAAAATTTTGGATATGGACGATTGCAGCCGTGACTTTGGAGCAAAGAAAAAACAAATGACATACGGAAACGTCCACTGCCGTCGAACTAGTCGCATCGATGATTGATGACGTGGGATGCCGAGCAGTCGGCAATGATTTCAGGTATTATTGTTTCGTTTTCTACTGTTTAACTTTACTTCTGGATCTGCTGCTGGGGTTTAGTAAACGTTAGTTAAGTTGGGGTGGAGACTTAAAATGGAGGCCATCCTCAAAGGGGGGGGGGGGGGGGAAAGATGGATTCCTAACGGTCGCGAAAGGAGCTGCCTCTCTACCCACGGGCGGCGATCCCCTGTCCTTCACAACCTTGAAGGGGGATTTTTTGCCGGTCTCGGCAACATTCCTGATGACAGTCCGCAGGGATTTGAGAAAGCAAAAAAGAAAAACGGGCACATGGGGTCATGTCCATACAACCTGTACGATCTCAAGGATTCGGCGTGCACCAAAACACAATGCTAATACCCGGCAATGCGAGAGAAAGCGAGTCCGCCGTAGCCTCTCCCCAAAGATGCATGCATGATACTACCCGTTTGAGAAATCAAGGATTTTATTAAATACTGTGAATTGCCACTGGCGCCACCGGTTCTTTGTTGAATTATTGCATTAGCCGTGGACAAAGAGAGCCAAGGAGACGATATCAGTAAAATCAAAAGTTATGGAAGGCATTGCAGAAGATTGATACGGTCTTCGTTGCCGTAGTGAGCGTTCGGTGTATTGCAACTTGTATGCGGCCTTCCGCGGGTTGTGTTCAGATGGCTCTTGCGCAGTGGATCAGGCCTCTAGAGCCTTTTACCCCTTTAGAACGAGCTTAACGTAGGGGGGGGGGGGAAGAAGGTAGCAGAGAGACATTCCAGTCTTAAGCATATCAACTTCTGAGCCCTTAATACCCTCCTCCTCCCTCCCCTGTTTCGCTGTTTTGGCTTTTCCCTACTCATGCCTGTATGGAGCCCTTTGAATCCGTCTCCAGCTGCGTATGCTAGGTATGATTCAGTGCGTCGGTGTCACGCGTGGCCATACCAAAATATGGGGACGGTGTTGGTCTTGTTGTGTACTGTACAGAGTACTTGGCATATTCCCTTGATGCTAAATGGGGTTGTCGACGCTTTACTTCACGCAAACGGGTGGCCACGAGCATCACCTCAGGGGAAACTTAATTTTCTTTTCTTTTCACTTGGTGAACTTGAACTGTTGGTACTATGCCCACCATCGTGGTCACCATCTAAGTACTTCAAACGATCGTATGGTGCATTAGAGACAATTCGCCCACCGACAATTTTTTTTTTCTTTTTTATTTTCCCTTTTTCGACATTTTGCAATCGAGTCTCTGGGACCCGTCGGCGGGATCGCTTGTGGCGAATGGCGGCAGGGAATAGGAGAGAGTCCCATCTGAGAAACCTTGTCTCGGGGGGTGGGACGATGGGGATATTCCATGATCCACTCCCCCAGCAGCTTGATAGATAAATCTCCCAGGATTCCAGTCGAAAGTGGATCACGCGCGATGGAATTGGCTAGTCAGCTTCGGCCGCGCTGATAATAACAGCGACATTGTGCTTTGTAGTCTACCTGGGTTGAACCCCTGCAAGTTCCAAGGGGAAAAGTACAGGATGCGGAATAAGCTCTTCATACCTCGAGCGATATAGTACCCGGTATAAGGATGTGGATCGGCACGAGAACTTCTCAAATAAACTCTACCCAGTGGTCGTGATGTTTTAAAGCTTCTTTGGATTTCAGCAGATGTTAAATTTTGTTGAAACCTGCGGAAATGGTGAAAGAGAATCCCCGTATTGCGTACAAAGAGGGATCCTCAGGTGGCTGGAACCTTGACGAGACCGCAACTAATCGAAGGGGCGTACGAAGGAATGGGAGTCGCTTGCGCTTGGCGCCTCACTTTTGCAAATGCACTGATCACAAAATATTGCTCAACGCGCGTGGTCGCCTCATTCCGGAGGCCACCGGAGCCACAAACCCCCCCCCCCCTGTTTGCATCAAAATTTCTATAAAAGAGCGGTGTTATTCGATCCCACTCGATGCTCCAACACACAACGCTAAAATTTCTTCTGCTTGACTTGCCCACTGAGTCACTGACTGCACTTTACACCTGTCAAGGCGGGGCCTCCATGGAGAGTATCTGTTACATGGTAATGTATAACTGTAGCATTGTTCTGTGCGCCTCTTTGAATTTCCTATTATGGGGGTCCGAGATCTCACGTGAGCACTCAGGGAGTTGTGTTCCCTGAGTGATGCGGACGAGACGCACTAAATGCTCACTGACCACTCCGGGGGCACTCCGAGAGCATTGAACACAACGTAGGTACCAACTAGTCAACGCTCGCATTCTATAAGCAATTTCAATCTCGCTTTTACAAAGGTAGCCTTGGCCCTTGGCTGATGGCCTGATACCCCTCCCGTATAATAGAACATTGCATGATGGACAATCAAAAGAAGTTTGATATGTAGTTAGTATGGCACTATTTTGAGCTTCTTTTGCCTAAGAAACAAGACAAGAACTTTATACCAAATGGCAGTTCTTATGGGATGGTCGCAGCTGGATAGCTTTTTTAAATCCTAAGGATTTCTACATCGCTTCCATAAAGCTGTTTCCTGTAGCCGTCGGTAGAGCATCCTTCATATAACTCCTTTTCGAAACTCGGCATGAAACCTTTTCTTTATCTTGGTGCATAATATGTACTATTGAAATAGCAGTAACTATTATCATTGCCCTGCTATATAATATGAAACACATCCGTGGTACCAGAGGTGATCCCTGGTAGAATAGCATTTAAAGCATCCCATGACTGGGACTCTTTCTGGTTGCTTTAGTTATGAAGGGTGGCTTGTAGAAATGTTTGAGGTACCCTTGGCTGTGTAGTTCCACATGTACCAATTCCCAGCTACCGAGGACGATGAAATAGTGGGAGAGTGATAAAGTCATTGCCCATGTACTCTATATATCTACTAAGCATGAAAGGTAGTCCTTGCTGAACTAGTTGTAGGATCACTGAACACGTCATAGATCCTCTTGCGTTCTATTCTCAACAAGGGACTTATGATGACTTGCCCATATTCAAAGTAGGATATACCATACCATTGATTGGCTTATTCGGCATCTTAGGTGTAAGAAGCCAAAGCTTCGAATCGTGACCTCATCTATAGAGACAGCAATTGTCCTCTATACTAAGCCCGGGCGTAATCCACCAACTGTGATAGAGGGCAAGAGTCTTATGATGTTTTCTGACGCAGTACACAGTCCTCCACCGCTTGTCTCAGTCCTTCTTCGAGCCCAACAAACGGCTTATACCCGAGTCTTTTCTTCACCTTGGCGATAGAAAAATATTTGGTCATACAACTAAGCCGAACCTTAGTCCTCGTCAAAGGTGGTTCACCCAACCTGAGTGCCCAAAACACCCATTCAAATATCCCTGCCAAGAGTAACACCCACGGGCGAGTAATCACCCATAGTTGATCTGGTCGCGTTGTATCCCCAGCATATCGCCAAACTAGCCGCGTAAAATCCCAGAAGCAGCGAGGCTCATCGTTTGTGATGAAGAACGCCTCTCCGTCGACCTTGGTACTATCTAGAGGCAACTCCTTCTGGTGCTTTACCGGTGCCTCGGCAGCAAGATAATGCCCATGCGCGACGTTCTTACTCTTTGTAAAATCGAACAGATCCCTATTATCCCCAATCTGCACATTCGTCCGACCACGATAATATGGAATATGGACCCAGTATCCCAGGGAGCACAACCCAGTCACCGACACCAAAGATACCGGATGGCCGAAGTGCACAAGTTAAGAAGTGTGCCGCCCCCCACCCCCCCGGGCTTCCGCTCGGTGATTGTGCGTTAGAACGTGCGTCCCTGCAAGAGCTTTGGTATACAAGTAGAACTCAGGCTGCCTGTCACCAAGGATAATTGGGTACGTCTCATCGGCACTCCTTAAATCGGTCTTGGCGTCGCTGATGACGCTCGCAGAGCTCATGTACACGAAGCTCTGGGTTCTAGATTCTTTGGCGACCTGTATTAAGCTTTTGGTGCCCTCCAAATTGTCTCTGTACATGATATGATTCGGGGAGTCGAATTTAGGGCTGGCAGTGTGAATGACTAGGTTTGGTTTCACATCTTGGAAGATCCGGCGCATTACGTTTGAGTCCGTGAGGTCTCCTATATGATATGTGACTCCGTCGAGGCGATGGGCAGGTTGGCGGAGATCAATGGAGTGGAGGTGCTTGCAGCCGCCCTGGGAGAAGAGCTGAAAGATTTGGCTGGCGAGACCGCCACTGTCGCCGGTTACAAGAACCGTGCTTTGGTTTAGGGAAGCAGATTTCTGGAGGCCCAGTAATAGACATCCTAGGAAAGCAGTGTTTTACTATTGTTATATTAAAAATCTAAGATATAGAAAGCGGTAAGAGAGTTGAAAAAGAGGAAGCCACACACATTGCAATCATTCTGCGAGAAAAAGCAGTCTGCAGGCGGCTCATCACCGTGGCTTACGATCCAGGGATCAACATCATGCGGAACGGAAAAACAAACGGTTTTGTTGCTAGACAGGGATTACTGTGGCCAGGTAGATATTGTCAGGGTCCCAGTTGAGCGTGGCTCGAAAATAAAGCATTATAGTGTTTCAAATGTATTGATTTGCACATCCAATGACTTGACTCCTAGGGATACTGGTGAACTTCACGAGTCATAACAAGGGGATTATGCAGTAAAATCTCGAAATAGGAGATTGGTCTCCATGGACTGCTGAGAGTGATGGGCCTGCATCTTTGGGTGTTATATCTCGAGTAATATAATTAAAAGAGTTGTCAGCGTGCAAGGATATCTGTTTCTCCTAGCTAGTCTTCCGTCCGCTTGGTAACTACTTGTACGGAATTTTTACGCGTGATGGCACTTATAATGGGACCAAAACCTAGCAGGTATTGTTTTTTTTTTTTTTTGATAATCTATATCTTTGACATATCATCTCGCCCTGATTACCTGTCACAGAGCAGGTTCTGAACAGGGTAGCTTTGGGGAGCAAAGAGCCTCGTGCTTAGATTTCAGTAGAGAAACAAGGCTCTATGAGCGACACATTGAGTGCGGCCCATCCCGGCCCTAGTGCACATACTTTAGTACAGAGTATCACTGAGGTGCTACTGCTTTTATAAGGGAGAAACACGCCTAACAGATATAAGATCAGAGATTCATCCACCTGCTTGAAACAATAGTTCACAAAGAACAAAGATACTTCGGATGTATAACGAACCAGATACATAATCTTAGTATGGATCATCGTTATCTTTGTGCATACACTGATGCCTCAGTTATGAGCATTGCCGTTTGAGTAATATATAGTTGAGCGAACAACTTTCGGGTAAAGTCATCTCGAAGTCCTACCTATAGTTACGCAAGTAGCTGTTATAACCCTAATTATAATAATAATAATAATAATAATAATAATAATAAAAGATTACCCATCTAAGCTTCACCAAACCCAGCTACTCAAAAGAACTACACAGAAAACCACCAATAAAACCACTATCACCATATCTCTACTATACCACAACTGCTCAATATAAAACAGCTACTCGATGAACCTCAATCTTAGACTATACCTACCAAATCTCAAATCCTCTACGTCCCAATACAAATAAAATAAAACACTACCCATCAAAAGAACTAACCTCCGCCCCCGCCCCAAAACGAACAACTCTCACCCTCCTCCAATCCATAAATCACTCTTCATCCGCTCGTAACCGCTCTCCCTGCGCCGCCAACGCCTCATGTAACGCCTCGTATTGTGCCTCATCACGAAAGACGACCTCCGCACAGCAATCCCACGAGAATTCCCCGGCTACAGTGCTGGGGATGATGACTCCCTCGTCGGGGGGTGGGGGTCAGTAGCGGTGGTCTCGCTTGTGGATTTGCCTGTGGCGTCCTGGAGAGGCCCCTCGACCCGGGATAAGTAGTATCGTTTGTGGACGGTAGGGAAGCGGTCGGGGCCTAGAATATCTCTGAGGAGGGGCATGTGGTGGTTTTCGTAGTGGGATTTGAAGGCGGTTGGAGTGATGCCCGGTTTGCGGGGGAGGAAGGCGAGGAGGGTGTATGACATTTTTTTTTTCTTCTCCTTTGCTTTCTCTGTTGTTTGTGAGGGTGATGCTGAGATGGGTTGTGTTGTCGATGAAGGCTGATCTCGATTGAATATTTCGAGACAGGTGGGAAGGTAGAGATAGTGTAGTAGATGGTAAAAAAAATTTAAAATTGCCGATAGTAAACAGAATCCATGAAGGATAGAGTCCCTATATAGGATCTAATCCAAGCTATCACTTCAGAGTAAGCACTAGTTCTATAGTGAACGGTTCTTGTGTACTTGCCTAATACGGGTGCTGCCACTTTTGTGAGGACGCCATATAAGTGATCAGTGAGCACTCAGAGAGCACTCACAGTTACTTACTAAATACTCTTTGAACATATACCCACTGCTCCGGCTACTCCAGGAGTAATCAGACTGACTTCCAGTTTCCCCTCTGACTAATCCAGGAGTAGTTTATACTACTGACTGTAACTTATTATATAATACTATAATAGTCTATGAACTGCATTACACTAAACTCTTAAGGTCTATAGGTGTCACAGATCCGATGATGACTCTGCATGGTGACTGTATCGTATACCCTGCCCGTTGTGCATATACAGCTCGGAGGCCGAACAGCAACGACGGATCACATATCCGTTGACTTTTCAATAGCGTATAGTAGCTCCTTGTCAGTCTTATCTTATTAGGAGAATAAGGGGCTTCTTCTGGATATAAAGTTAGCCTAATGTTAATGGAAGAAGGAGGCAAGAATCAGTCTTCTGTCTGTCTGATATCTACTGCTTAGCTTTCAGCCTACGTACCCTTACCTAGTTGACAGGTCTTCTACCCTGAATAGTAGATATTTCCTTGACAATAGGACTACTTTTATCAGCCCTTATAATAAACAGAGCCAAACAACATAGTACGAATAACATATATAATATTCTTTTTTTTTTTTTTTTCTTTTTTTTAGGAAAAAAAATTGCAACCCTGGGTAAGACTCTAAGAGAATAGATAGAGCCAATATAGGCTAGAGTCCTTAACCCTAGATATATAGATATATAGAATAAATTAAGTATATATTCCCTGATAAGCTCTTACTTCAGAACCCTTTTTACTCTATTTATGCTATTAAAGTTAATGTTGTGCCTAAAAGCACCGAGAGTATTGTAGAGGAAGTTGTTTTGTTCATTCATCTATCTAAGCAGCCGATAAGCGGCCGCCATACCGCCTTTCCTACCGCTTTCGGCAGAATACATGAAAGCCACAACAGTTAACTTTATTCTGTAATATTACTAATTTTGCTGTCTCTATACTTCTTACTAATCATAGTCCTTACCTAAATAAGCCTAGTATTAAAACCTTTTAAGCTCTATATCTCTACCAATTATATATATTCTAGTTCTATATAAAAATCTAGAAAAAATCTAGAAAATCGATATTGTAATGCCAAGAAAAATCCGCTCAGGTTCCCCGCCCCCGGCCCGGAGCCGGGTTGGGGCGGGTTCGGGTTGGGTCCAGCGGGGAACTCGTGCCACTCTAACCCCGATTCTAGACCTTGTTTCGTAAAATACCAGATAAATATAGGAGTTAGTGGGTTCGACTAAGGGGGAATCCTCCAGAAGGCAGGGTTTTCACCTACTCATAGTTAAGCACAACACGAGTTTTTGCTTCTAAATATCATCAGTTTCAACGTCACCTATACATATAAATCGCCTCTTCCTTCCCTTTGAATTCGAGCTCTATTCCTTGTATTGGTCAACCGCTACCACGAACAAAATATCTATCAGAATGGCTCAGGTCCAAGGCCACTGCGACGCCCGATTTTCCAAGCTACGCGACTTGATGCAAGAGTTCATCGCGTCCGGACAAGATATCGGTGCCAGTTTGTGTATTAATATCAACGGTGGCGATAACGTAGTAGATATATGGGGGGGCTACGCCAATGTATCGACTAAGAAACCATGGGAAAAGGATACGATAGTAAATGTCTTCTCGACCACGAAACTAGTCACCAATCTGGCGGCTCTAATGCTAATCTCGCGTGGTGTGCTTGCTCCTGAGGATAAGGTAGCCCGGCACTGGCCTGAGTTTGCAGCAAACGGGAAGTCAGAGATCACGGTCGGCCAAGTACTAGCCCACACGGCGGGTCTCAGCGCGTGGCAGGACAATATGACGCTGGAGGACCTATACAACACCGAGGCGGCAACTGACAAGCTAGCGCGCCAGGCACCGCTATGGGCTCCCGGAACCGCAATGGGATACCACGGTATAACACAGGGATTCCTTGTCGGGGAGCTGGTGCGAAGGAAAACGGGTATGTCAATCGATAAGTTCGTGACGGAGGAGATTTGCCGGCCGCTGGGCGATGGGACGGACTTCCAGCTCGGGTGTCGCAAGGAGGACTGGAACCGGGTGGCCCCCGTTGTGCCTCCACCAGGACCTTCGATCCAGGAGGTACTTAGCCAACAGGCGGGATATAAGCAAGACTCGATCGCCGTGCGCACGATTTGTAACCCCTTGCCCACCGCTGAGGACGCCAATACTGAGCTCTGGCGGTCCAGTACATTGGGCTCAGTCAACGGCCACACAAACGCTAGAGCGTTAGTCAAGATCCTCTCCTGCTTCTCGCTCGGCGGCATATGTGCGGAAGGAGGCCATCGCCTACTGTCGGCCGAGACAGTAAAACTGGCGCTTACAGAGCATGCGACTGGAATAGATGTGGTGACAGGGCGGAGCGGGAGACGTGGGCTTGGGATTTACCTCACCGGGCCTGGATCGGGGATCGTTGATGACAAGCTGCCGGAGGGTATTGTTGGATGGGGTAGCGGATGGGGGGGTTCGGCCGTGGTTATGGATAGCGACAGGAGGCTCACAATCGCGTATACTATGAACAGGATGCTGAGCGCGGAACATCCTTCCCCAGCAGCATATATCAAGGCAGTTTATGAGATACTTGGAGCTACCCAAGCTGCCTAGGATCTGGACAAGCTTGGTTTAGAAACTGTATATTCCTGGGTTTGGCAGAGGTAGGTCATATCAGGCGTACAGTGTGAGAAATAGATGGCCAGTGTGTCAGGATGATCCTCGCCGAGCTTCATCTTGCGAGTCTCTATGATCTGCACAAGAAATTGCTCCGCCTCCTCCCATCAGCCTGTATCCTATATGTCAACGCGAGGTTAGCCATGTCTAGTAACGTGTTGAAACATTTAAAACTAAATATTCTTTTCTTAGCTTTGAGCACTTGGATTGACTTCGATATCGCAACAACTCTTCGTAGTCTGGGTCCCCGGGCAGAGGTTGTTATTTTTGGATCAGTAATAATACATAACATTACAGCACTCGTCCGTTTGAATTTTACCATTCAAAACCGAAACATGATCTACAGGACGGGAGTAACCATATCTGGATTTAGAGGATCATGTGATTAAGGTTTGAAAGAGTATCTCTGTCTCCGACATGGAAGGCGATATCGGGTGGTACTGTATCAATCTATACCAATCAGACCACTTGTTTTCGATGACTAAGGATAATTCCATTCATTTATATACTAGAAGATCTATAATATTAAAACAAGAGTGTAGAACACCCGGACACCGTTTTTGCAACTTAGTGTATATCACTTATTATATAAGCTTTCCGAAGTGGCTTAGTGTATGTTAAAGTTCGAGATACAAAAAAAAAATCAAAAGATTATAACTGGTGACATTAGTTTCCGGACTCAGAGTATAAGCTGCCAGTAGCGGTAGTGTAGTGGTAAGCACTCCAAGGCAATTTCTGGGATTGGTCCTCTTTCTTTTTTGGAGATAGTGGGTTCGGCCCGCAAGCACAGAAGAAGTATTGGGAGTTATGTCAACTGAGCCTAACGAGATTATAGCCGGAAACCCAGGTTGTACTTGTAGAAAACTATCAAAAGTTGTTAGAAAACAATAAATAGAAGTGATCTGAGGACCCTAGATTGTCTTTTAGGATATGCTATTAATATGGTAGGGACTCGGGTAGTAGGGTGATAATCCTGTATTGGTCTCAGTGAGCCCGGCTACTATGTAAACTAGCTACGGTGGGCGAAAGCCACCAACAATGAAAGCCATAACAAATCCCGTATATGATAGTTGGGATTGTTGAAAGACAGCTGTAGAATCAAAAACAGATGTTTCTTGATAGTCAAGATTAGGAGGACTTCAAGGACAAATTCACTTAGGGGCCAGATGTTTTTAGCGGGCTGGATCAGCTAGCTAGGGCTCGCTCAAGGACACGCACTTATGTGCTCACCCCACGCCCCGGGCCGTTCAGTGAGCAAGAAGCGGAAAGGGAAAGTCACTCGATTTCTGCAGGAGCTGATAACATTATAAATCATCAAAAAGTGGATCGCAATTGCCTCAGCTGAACTTGAGCAGACAAGAGATAAATAGTGGTTCTTGGCACCTCGATAAAGAGGCACTGTTTCTGATTTAGGAATCAAAACCACGTGATACAACTGATCGACCCTAACCCTGAGCCCTATGCTATGTAGTCTTATTGTAAGCCATTCTTCCAATGCCTTGATATACGGAGGACAGTGATATCTTCTGGATTAATTTCTCGAGAATGACATATAGCTTATATACCGTATAATATTAACACAATGTGCGATCCTCCACTTGAATAAGAGAAAGCAAGCCGAAGACCATAACTACTACACAAGAGGCAAGACACGGGTATCACTTTTTCAACCAGACAGTTGGGGACTACTATTACTCTTGATATAAAGAATACCCAAATTGTTGTTCGAGGTATTAAGTGAATTGACAGCGAACTACTACTAGCTACCGTTAGACGCGCGGGCGAGATGGGAGACGGCCGTGCTCAATAAGCCTATTGAGAGCAATATCCGGAAGCTTCACTACCACCACCAGGTGCCGCGGATGTTATGTATACCACATGGCCAGCAACTCTTACCTTCCTTTGCTCCTACTCGTATATTTATTATTTAATGGCATTTTGGCTAAGTTTACAGAAAGAAATTGGAGAATTTTTTATGGTTGGTTATCTCTCTCAGAGGCACACTAGTCTCGGTGATTCAGAAGCGCAAGCGCAATGAATATTGCAGCCATATATTCCTTTATACATTCTCTATGGGCAGTCCCTACCTTCCTCTTCCCACATGCAGTTCGAGTGCCTACCAATATATCTCAATATGAGGTCCATTCGTTGCCTGATACTTCCTTGCCGCTTAGCTGGGCTGGCCGGCTCCCTGTTCCTGAAACGCCTCCAGGTAATTCGTTGTTCTTTTGGCTCTTCGAGGCTGAAGATCCTACATACGATGAAAACCTCATAAGTCAGTTTCACCACCGCGAAACTTCGGTTATGGGAGCATAGTTAATTTGCATAGTCTGGTTCAACGGTGGTCCTGGTTGCTCGTCCCTTATAGGGCTAACTACAGGGAATGGACCTGTCTTATTTGATGGCAATTCCACACATCTCATCCAGAACCCACACTCGTGGACCAAGCTAGGCCACGTCCTCTATGTCGACCAACCGGTGGGAACGGGATATTCGACTGCGAGTAACCCTTATCCTGTCCCCGACAACGACCGCGTAACATCTGACTTCTACAAATGGCTCCGGAATTTCTTCACCGTGTTCCCTCACCTCCGCTTGAAACAAGTACATATGATCGGAGAGTCATGGGCGGGAATCTACATCCCTTACTTTGCCTCCGCTATTGTCCAAGGGCAGGACTCGTTCCCCATTAACCTCCGGTCCATCTCCATCGGCGACGGTACCATCGGGAACGCTGCCGCTATGTCCACCATCACAATCGGGTCATTCATGCGTTCCCAGAAAGACATCCTCCAAATCCCCGATGATATCCTATCCGTCTTCACAGAAGCAGAAAAGGCTTGTGGATTTGACCAAATCCTCGAGGCAGCAGACCAATACCCTCCCAAGGGCAAGATCCGCATCTTTGGAAACCCAGAAAACCGCAACTACAAACGCCATCGGCACCTTGACGTTCGCAGCTTAGTAGATGAAACATGTAACATCGAGCCCACCACGCCAGACATGGTCCAGACATCCATCTTGAATTCCACCTGTTACGGACCCTGTGCAACCTTCGCTACGGCATTCGATTACCTGGGCGCCATGTCTGCCTCGGGCGCAGGCAAACAGTGTCACGATATCTATGACACCCACAATGACTGTGATACCATCGACCCCCTCGACCTACTCGCTTCGTACTTCAGCCGTGCGGACGTCCAAGTCGCACTGAACTTGCTTCCCGCCGCAGCAGAGAAGGACAAGGATGGAAACAAAATGAACTTCGCCCCCTGCAACAGCACAATCCTGACTACCCTTCTATCAAGCCCATCCCCTGTGGCCCCGGCATACTCGATCCTTCCTGATCTCGTCACAACCCACAACATCCCCCTCCATATCTACTCCGGCGAGAACGACTTTCTACTCAACCATTTCGGTACCGAATTGAGTCTCCAGAACATGACATGGAGTGGAGCGCAAGGGTTCTCCCAAAAGCCTAACCGACCCTTTTTCAGCGATAATGCTGCACCCACACATTCTTGCGACAAGGGAAATAGAACCGAGGCGTGTGGCGTTGAAGTGGGCGTCTGGGGGTCAGAACGCGGGGTGACTTATCATCTCTTTTGGGGGGCAGGGCACAGCGTGTTTGGGAAGAAGCCACGTGAGATGTTTGCTTATGTGCGTGATGTTGTTGTTGTTGTTGTTGTTGTTGCTGTTGCAGGTTGAATGTTTGCCTCTTTTTTTTTTTTTTTTTTTCCTTGGTCAACATAGGTTCTTCAAGCCTTCTGTTGTATTCTGTGTGTGTGTGAGAGGTTATGTATTTGAAATAAGAACTGCCAAAATACTATGGGGACTGACTGGAGTTGGGTTAGTTCAAGTATTCCCATATGTGTTACGATGTATGTTCGCTATGAATTGGCTTGTTGCTTCAGATGTTACTACTACTACTACTACTACTACTACTACTACTACTACTACTACTACTACTACTGGGGCTGTATAGTCAGTTCTATTACAGCACACCGATTCTGATAGTAAAGCAAATAATGTCTCATTTCGCTATTTTCGTCACGCATGATTACACAAAAGATGGCACGCTATGCAAGGCTATTCCACACTATATGAATATCAACACCGTACGCCATCACTTTTATCCCTAGTGTCAGAACACGGAGGGAATGCAAAAACAAGTCACGCAACTAGGTATACATCTTGTAATCGTCCAAATCATACTCAGGTAACAGGGTAGCCATGTTGCAGACGCAGTCCGACAAGCAATGCATAGCACTTCCTGAGCTTTTCTAATATCATCTGAAAACAGAGGAAAGACTTGAGAGGGATTTATTTAGAGGTCCTTATTGATGCCGCTCTTGAGCCAGTCAAGTAGGAGCACCCAAGAGGTCGTAAGAGCCCTCAAGCCTTGTAGAACATAATAAACCTCACCACAGGAGTCGGAAGGAGTTTGAGAATAAATAACTCTATAGTGTAGCACAAGAGTATAAATATGCGGTAAACGCCCACCTGGGCAAAACATCAAGTGGGGTCAGCTGTGCCACGTCACCGGCGACTGAAGAATGGTGCCTGGTTGGGCATGGAAAGTAGAGAGTCGGCCCTCTGAAACACATCTCCCTCGAAGAATTTGTCACTGTACGCACTTGCAGGGGTAGACGGCACTGTCGCCTGAGCAGCTGGACCAAGAGCAGCACTCAAAGGTGTTGCAGGAAGAGTAACAGACTGTGGTGACAGGCTTGTACTGATCTGATGCTGTGTATGTTGTGACTGTAAAGGGGGCCCGTATATGTTTGCTGGTGCGTTTCCAGATGTCATGTCTGCGAGGTAAGACCATGGCGAACCCTCGATCAGCCGACCAGCCTCTCTGCTGGCCCTCTGCACCGGACGAAGGAGCACGATGATCTCAGAAGGGAGCAGATCCATGCTCCTGACTTCACGCAGGTCTGTCACAAGATCAACGAATGATTGCATGAATGCCTTGCATAACTGCCAGAACTCGCGCTGGTGGCGCATCCCGCCGCCGGGTTCCTTTATCTTCATGTTGGAAAGGCGGAGTCCAAGTGCCTCAGATACTTCCAAGCACACGCGACATCGCCGAATGAGGTTGTTCCAGAGCATCTGTATAACTTCAGGTTCTCGAACTTGTTCTGCCAATTCAAGACTTCGCACAAATTGACGGTGTGCCTGAGGTAGCGCTTGTAGAGCGGCGGCATACGCAGTAGTGAGCTGATGAAAGATCCGCTCGAATGTTCGCTCTTCTTCGATTTCATCCAAGCCAGTCAAGGGGTTAACCCGAGGTACAACTGTAGTAGGCATTGGAGGGAAGGACTCGCCGGAACGGGGAGTCGCGAGGGACGAGGGTATCGATGTGTTTATGTGGTTTGACCGACTACTTGATCGACTCCGTGCTGCGTAACTAAATGGGGTGGAGACAAACCCAGGTGAGCTAATCGCAGAATGGAAATTGGATGCTGTCTGTAATGGCCCACTGGTGGTGATCTGAGGGTGCTGAATAGTGGTGTCACTCCGGTAACGACGCACCGAGAGAGACGGCGCCCTGCCTCTAGTTGGGGTCACCGTTGATCCAGTGAGTCTATCCGAGGCAACCATCTCTCTGTGTATTTCCGGTATAGGCGGATTGGTGGAAGAGAGACGTTTGCGAGTGTGCAGTGGAACACCGAGGCTCACACAAACATTGCGAAGCTCAATGATGCTACTGTAGATCATTAGCATCAGCGAACGTACATAGCGTGAATCTGCATTGGCGACAATCTTGCCAAGGCTATTGCGCAGCTGCGTCCCAACGTGAGTGTATGCCATGATACACGTCTCGCATTCCCTTTTAACTGCTTCGTTGGATAGCCGTACCAAGTCAGCATCATCTAGTTGAGCATTTTCCGCATACTCAAGAGCTTCGTTGAGCCGGTCAACGTGAGTAGAGGCGTTATAAAAGACAATCTCGAGACTGTTTCGCCGGGTATCATCGCGTTTGATCACGTTGATCAAAGCATATACATGAGACTGAACCTGAAAAAGGGCAAACAAGACCCCCTTTCCACACTCGATAATCGATTCCCTTGCCTTTCTTTCACACTTTTGTTCCGGCAGGCTTGACATCCGGTTTACAAAACAATCCTTCAAGCGCCTACGCTCCCTTGGGCTGCTTGGGCTGGACGAATTACTGCCTGCCGCGCCCGGTGCTCTTGGGCGAAGGATCGACCCATGACTGAGACCACGAAGGTGACTGTTCCGATACGGCTGGGTCTCATCCAATCTCCCGAGGTCGGCATTTTTCCTGATGCCCCCCATCCGTTTACTTCGCGCGGCAATAGATGCCTGGATAATACCCTCACTGTTACTCCGGTTGCGTTCATTGACACCAGGGATAAATGTTCCGGGTCGCGGGAGGATACTGTTGAACGCTATGCTCTGGCCGGAGGCAATACGGTAGTGGGATTTAAGTGGAATTGGTGGAGGCCGCGACAGCGACGGTGATTTGGGATCAGAAGAGATGTCGCCTGTACTTGGGATGACCGGGAAGCGGCTGCTTATTCCACGTTTGACGGGTTTAGGGGTGTCCCAGATCGCTTCACTATACGTGACCGTCAGTCTATGCCAATACATCTCAGGGTAAGTATCCTAACCTTGCATCGGTGCCCTTTTCATTCTCTGGTGTCGTGCTGAGCTGTTCATTCTTCAGGAATCGTTTTAGCACTGCAGTTACCGCGACCTCTTTTTCGTTATCTGTCATGGTGGAGGGTGCAATATCTGTTTCTGAAATCTCTAAGAGCTCTCGTAGAGGATTCCGCAAGGGGTTTCCAGCAACCTTCAGGATCTGAAGCTTATTCATATCAGATACCCCAAGGGGCAGATCATCAAGGCGGTTCTGCATCACAGACAGAACCCGTAGAGAAGTCAATTTCTTGATTTCTTCGGGAAGATGGCTGATCTTGTTACGGCTGAGATCCAAGATTTCGAGGAGCGGCAATTTGTAAACCTGGTATCCGTGTTAGTGTGTGTAAAGGCCCTGCTGTACAGCCGGTCATGTATCACGTACACCCTTAGGAAATTCCCGGAAGTTGTTCGCTCTAATGTTAAGGTACCGAAGATGGAAACACTCTGCAAAACGATAGGGAATGTGAGACAGATGGTTGTTTGATAAGGAGAGTCTAAAAATGATCAGCAACCCCTCTAACAAAGGAGATGAAACACTTCGTGGTCCTAGAAATCACCCGGTAACAGATACATACCGCTCGACTTCATCTTTAATTATGTCCACCACTGGTTCCGGAATGCGCACGATGTTCGAATGACCCAGGTCGATAGTCAACTTTGGTTTCACGACATCACTGACTGCTTCGCTTCCTGCCAAAGAGCGTTTCGTGTCTTGAATCCCACTGTCCACGGCGCAACGAGCAAGTTCAATAGTCTCGTCGGGTGAGAGAAGTCGAGGCCCTGTGTGAGGTTTGCCAACATTGCCAACCCTGTCGCCCGCAGATCCGTTTACGAGCGTTGTTTCATCTTCACTTTTTTCTAGCGCCTCAGTATTGGATGAAGATGACGACGATGACGAAGAAGAAAGAATATTAAGTTCCGGAATTCGCCTGCTCGCATCGTCCTCGTCAACGTCACCACGGTATGAGCGAGGCATTCGGATCGAATCCTCTGGGCGTGTCATGGTGGAAAGCATAGCGGAGGACGAAAGCGAGAATAAATAAGTAAATTGAAAGGTTGATGGCCAATCCGTGTTCAACGGTCAATTAATGAATTAAAATATCCACGAGACAGGCGAGAGAATTGAGGTGAAGCATGATCGACTAACGCTGCGACAGCAGGATTATGAACGCATGGATAGGCAGTCGAGATCCTTTTTTTATTATCTTTTCCTTCCTTCGTCCTTCTCGGGTAGAATACTTAAGGCGAATGCTGCGTGAAGAAGGCGGTACTTCTGATTTCGACGGAGGCGCGAGACAAAGCCCGATGATCGCCGTTGGGTTTCCAAATGGCCAAAGTTCGCTCGATTCGTAGAGATCGGAAGGCAGTACTGATCATAGAACCAGGACAATTGAGCTGTCAATCTTCCAGGTTGGATGTGAGACTCGAAATCAGGTATCGGTGGTTGCCGGGCCCATGAGATCAGAAGAAACCGGAGATAGGAGCGAGTGCCCTCTGTAACTTGACTAGTGAAACGCGGAGAAAAAGTGCAGCTGTCAGATCAAAAGCCACCCCAAACTGATTGATCGAATATGCACACCAAAGATCGGTCCGATGGTAAAGTAAATTCAGGGTAATGTTAGGGGTTCAAGGAATGAGAATCCAACTGAAGACTGGAGATCAAACAGGCGCCGCGATTTCCCAGGAGGTTTCAGAAAAGGAAGTCCGGGTCAGGATGAAGTTGAAACACCAGGCGATAAAATGGGGGAAGCGATAAGTTCCCCCCGTTGATTGGCCGTCACCCTTCACAACAACTCCGGGGCAACTGCTCCTACTTGGTACGTAAAGGTCTATTGTAGCTTGATTTCGATTTGGTTTTGATTCTTCTTTGTATTTTTTGGTTTTTTTTTTTTTTACTTTTGCTTCACTCTATCTTCTTCTTCTTTAACTTCTACTTTCTATTTTTGTACGTGTCTCTCCCCATATCAATCTCGCCGTCGATCTCCACCTGAGCAGCTAATCAAGTGTCCCGGAGACATACTACCATACATCAACCAAAAATACAAGCGTACTGGGTGGGTTATGGAACCTTGTGAACCCTGAAGCGGCACTTCTGTACAGATTGAATAATAAATACTCGGCGGAATCACGGGGCAGTTGAGTAGTAATTGAAGAAATACATAAACAGTATCGGAAAAGAAAATACATCCAGTATTATACATAACCATCGAGATGTCCGGTCCCAAAATACCCCAGACCAGTTCAATCGAGTTCTATCAAGATATTCATGCTTTTATGGTCTACGCCTGCTGAGGCTGCTTCTCTTCCACCCCTTCCTCTAGCCCCAAGCTATCGTCAGTACTTGGGATCTCCGGAGCACCGGTAAATGCTGCTGTCCTCTGTTCCTGGACCTGGGCTTCCGACTTAGCCCATACCTTCCAGCGTTCGTATTCTTGGTTTTCAAGTTCCATGCCGACTTCAAGGCGGGTAGGTCCGAATGTAGCACCTGTGGCTTCGGCTTCTTCGGCAGCGACTCGCCGTTCAATATCTTCCTGGAGACGCAGGCGATAGAATTCACGGCGCGCGATATCATAAGCGGTACTCTTGGTCATATCGGGGACATTGTTAAGGAGCCAGAGCTGACGCTGGACGACACTATTATGAGGGAACAGGAAGTTGTTAGCGTCCGACAATCCGATATACTAGGATGGCATTCATCCTGAAAGCAGCGAGGCAGAGGGGGAAACATACCTCTCACCATCCAATCGCTTTCCTGGTTGCTGGAGCCGGCTCCAGTCATAGTTCTCATAATCCTTTCCGGTACTTTCAAGCACAACTCGGGGTCTCGCAAGCTCCCAGGGGTGATCACGGAAAAACTCCTTTCGCAACAGGTCCTCTTCGTACTTGATCTCGGTGGGCAGGAACATACGGCTGGCTTTTTTCGGTTTCACACGCTTCTCCTGAACTTCAAAAACGACCTGCGGCTTCGAGGCTCCAGGAAGCGTTTTCACACGCTGTCGGACGAGCTGGTGCTGTTGTTGCTGGTTCCGCACGAGGACCTGGGCGGGGGGGATATCGCGCACGACATTAATCCATTTTGGGATTTGGTGAGTCTTACCGGCTTCCTTCTGTCGAAGCGCCGTCTGTCGGACTCGGAGAGCTGTGAGATTATATTTGCCCATGGCGGGATCGGAAGAAGGCGGCGGCCAGAAGGGCAGCCGTAGGGTATAGGCCGATTAAAACGGTAGGATTGAAAAGGATCAATGGCCAAGTAGAACCCACACGTAATTGTCCAAGGCGACTCTCCTCCAGGGGACAACGATGGAGACCTTTCGGTACGGTTGATCGTGGAGTTTTGGTGATGGTGGCCGAGCGCGCGGGTGAAAAAGAGGATTGGCAATGGGCGGCTCCGATTGGACCAACCGTGGCTCCGCTCCGGTGCAAAGCCAAAGAGATTATTGAGAGAGAACATAATAATTTGACGCGGAGCTTCACCTTAGAACCACCCTTCCCCCCATTCTCCTCCCCAAATTCTGACTTTGCTTTCATTCGCGACCTGCCACGCTCGAGGAGCAGTCTGCTCGATTCTTTTCAATCTGCTCGAGACCTCCTCGGGATATGCACGGTTGACTCGATGCCACGATGTCTGCCGTCTCATGCCTCATCCCAATAGGTTCCAGAGCTCGCCCAACCTGCGACTGCCCCCTTCGCAGGGTTTGGATACGTGCTTGTCCGTCAATTGCAATTCCATGTCTAAGCCAGAATCATTCTCCTACAATGCTTCCATCCGGAGACTCGGCGCCAGACGCCCTCGCCCGTCCGCTGCCTCTATAGCAGACCTTTTCGTCAGCTCGCTGGTGATGGCAGGCTACTGCCGGGAGCACTCTCCTCGAGGACGAGGGCTGTCAACAATGTCTGCGAAGACTTCGAGGTGCGAGATGGCGAGGTGGCGAGACAGGGGCCTGACGAGTACGGGGCATTTGTCGAAAAGACGCCTGGATTATCTAGGGTCTCCGGCGAAGTGCCTAGGAGTGGTACATCGTCCAAGAACACAACGGATGTTCAACTCCGGCATTGCGCAAAAGTTAGAAGACGACGAGAGCGAAGACATACGTATACCAAACCGATCAATAGAGAGACCTTCGCCTAGGATACATCACAAAGACGCGGAATCAGATCAAAAGCCACATTTAGACAGGGGATTACCACCATCACAACACACGCTCAAAGACTTGAATTGCGAGTCAGTGACGGGCACCTTGTCTCCGGAGGATTCAGAACATAACCCGTCTTACGCCGTCTCCAGAGAAAACGCACTTGACCGCCAAGTAGATCCGCCTGCGGTACCAACCATATCCCGCTACCACGGGAAGACGAGCCCGGCTAAAGAATTACACGATGCTACCTCAAAACTATACCGTTCTGTCTTTGGAGAATCCTTGGACTGGAAGCAGGCGGTTGACACTGTTGTTGATGATGGGCAGGCTGACTCATCGTCACCTCGACCTGTTGTGCTTCGTAAGGATAATAAAGAAGATGCCGTGGAGCTCCAGTCGGTCGCCCTATTCGTTGAAGCCATGTGGGATGAGAAGAAATCCAATCAATATGTTTTTCGACTGTACAGAGATCTTCCATATCCAGGAGTTTCGTACTTGTCGAAACGGTCACGAGGGGCACTTTTGCGGCGGTTTGCTAACCCTCCTAACCGCCGGTGGGTTGATGCTCGCCGCTATCTTGGGTTAATAGAAGACATGGTGGCTGCAAAACTCCCCGTGTCGCGGTCATTGTGGAGTTCTGCTATCCATCTGGCAGGCCGTGCATCCGGCAAAGTATGCAAAAGGGATTTGGTGAGATCGATCGGTCTCTGGCAGCAAATGGAGCATGTGGCCGGGGTCAAGTCAGATGGCGTGGTCTTTAACATCCTCTTCGACATAGCCATCAAAGCTGGCCAATTCACAGTAGCAGACCGTCTAATGGAGGAAATGGCGAAACGTGAAATCACTTTTACTCGCCCTGGAAAGGTTTCCAAAATGTACTACTGCGGAATGCAGCAAGATGCGGATGGCATCCGTGAGACGTTCGATGCATTCGTGGCTAGTGGGGAGATTGTTGACACAGTGGTACTGAACTGCCTGATAGTATCCTTTCTTCGGGCTGGGGAAACGAAGACTGCAGAGCAATTATATCATCGCATGATGCAGGCGCAAAACACAGTTGATCTTGATATTGAGCAGAGGCTACATCATGGGCCGAGTTTGACCTCAGAGTTCATCGTTTATCGCAAGAAGTCCAGGAAGCTCAATCGGCTTTTACAAGTATCTGCTTCTCTTAAGGACCAACTCCCTGAGCACCATCGAGCTTTGCAGGAGGCTTTTCCTATGACCCCCGATACGCGGACATTCCATATTCTTCTTGCTCACCACGCCTATCGATCGGGCAACTTACACGCTTTCATGTCAGTCATAGGTGACATGGAAAAAACTTTTGCAATTCCACCGCGTGGAATGATATATTTGCTGCTTTTCGACGGATTTGCTTATAACGGCCGAAAGAGAAAAGGCTGGACTGCTGAACGGCTGTGGAACGCATGGCGAGCGTATCTTCGCGCCCTTTACGAATCAAAGAACAGATTTAATGACCGCTTTCATCTTCGCACGGCAAAGCTCGTTTGGGAAAATCCTCTAGGAAGTAGCGCTGCACTACTGGCAGCGCAGACACCTACACTGCCAAGAAAACCAATGGGCTTATACACCCCATTGCCCTCGGGCAAGTCCGAGGCAAAGATCACGTCTGAAGAACATCAGCAGGAACAGGTGGACGAGAGTGACGAAGCAAGCAAGGAAGATGCCGACGAATTAGGTGTCAATGATGCGACTGCCGAATTCGATGATGATATTGATACCGACGAGTTGTTCAATTACCGAGGCCGAGACCAGCATGCCGAGGATGGTGAGCTTGAAGGGTTGGAGCGCCAGATTGACAATGGGGTATTTCTAGGACGCCGGATGATTATCATCATTCTTCGAGCATTCGGTGCCTGCTGCGGACCTAAGGAAGTAATGGAGGTCTGGCTGCATATCGAACGACTTTGGCAACCCAAAAGACGCAAAGCGCTTGACGTCATGGCCGTGAAGGAGGAGCTGGAGAAGCAGATAAACAAAGGCAGTAGGAGACACTGAAGCCTGACTGAAAAAAATTCAGTGCATGTACATTATAGACCTGTTATATATACCCTCCAGGTGCATACCATTTGATGACAGCTATTAGACTAACTGCACTATCCTGATCCTGTACAGTGAATATTTTTGTGACATCTAGTTTTAGCAATAATAAATTGAAATACAAAAGAATTGAACATCCAGAAAGTAGACAAGATATTAGGTGTGTTTATTACCATTACTGCATCAGGCAAAGTAATGACAGACTGTCATTCCACGTGATATCGCGTTCCGTCTTCTACTCCAACGCGTTTCGCAGATTTTCCCGAAGTAAATCCAAACAACCTTTCTCTTTCTTTCATTAAAACCGTAAATACCTCGACCTGAAGATGCTGCGGAGATGATAGACGGCAATCTGAAGCATCGCAAGGTAGACTTGGACTTTTATCTACACCGGGTTTTCCGAAAGAAGTCATTCCGGTAAGTTTCGTTTACTCTTGGGCTAGCACTTAAAACTAAATTTAGGCTCTGAATAGTCCTCTACAGCGAGAGGTAATCACAGCAGCCGTGGAAGGCCACGATGTTTTTTTGCAGGCATCTACATCATTTGGAAAGAGCCTGTGCTTCCAATTGCCTGCTGTCATCAGCCATGGCGGTTGGTCCACCTCCATCATGTAGACTTTGGTCTAAGACGTTCGATGTATTCTAAATGTTCCTCTCTTATACAGTGACTGTCGTTGTATGTCCTCTCCTCGCATTGATGGTAAGTTACAGCGGATTCAATGCCAGGAGCTCAGGTCATTGAAGCAACACACCTACAGACAGACCAAGTAAACGCGCTGCAAACCCTAGGAGTAGCAGTGGCAACAATCAATTCGACCACGTCACTTTCAGAGAGACGCGAAATCCTCGCAGATCTTCTCTCAGGACATCCCCGTACCCGCCTTCTTTATGTAACTCCGGAACTATGCCAAACGGAGACGTTCCGGCGGAATCTCCAAACTATCCATTCCCAAGGAGAGCTCAATCGTGTCGCCATCGACGAGGCTCATTGCATCAGTGAATGGGGCCATGATTTCCGTCCAGCGTACAAGGAACTCTCCTGGTTCAAGCGGGCCTTGAATAACCCCCCAGTTCCGATCAGCGCCTGCACGGCGACCGCAACCCCGCGTGTCCGTCAGGATATCATAAATCTCCTCGGTTTGGATCCCGGCCGATTGAGGATTTTCAATACACCCTCAGCTCGACCAAACATCCATTACGAGATCAGATATCTCCAAAATTCCATCGACGATTCAGGAGACTCTGGAAATGCTCAAGTTAGCGACTTCGTCTCCTGGCTGAAATCCATCCAGAACCGTCGAGAAGCCAGAATAAGGGGAAATGACACTAATCTTCCGCCTATATCCGGTATCATTTACGTTTCCTTCAGGTCAACGTCGGAGAACCTTGCCGGTATTCTGTCGACATCATGGGACGGCAATATCCGAGCGGTTGCTTATCACGCCGGCCTTTCCTCCCAAGACAGGACCCAGATTCAGTCCCAGTGGACTTCCCCGCAGTCACTCTCAGAATCAAACGACCAAACCCCAGCGTTTTATATAATAGTCGCAACTAATGCGTTCGGCATGGGTATCGATAACCCCCATGTTCGGTTCGTAATCCACTGGAACCCTCCCCGAAGCTTCGAGGGGTTTGTACAGGAGTCCGGTCGCGCAGGTCGCGACGGCCGTGCCGCCGCATCGATCGTATACTACAACACCCAAGAACGAGATAAAGCACTTGATCGTCTCCGACGAGACGTTGAAAATGCCTACAATCGCGCCAACAAGAAACCAGCGAATGGAATACCAAAGGACGATCCTAATAGCAACCTTCAAAACCAATACGCCCGGTTGCGGAGTTTCCAAAAAGTTGTTCGCTATTGTGAGTCAACTAGCCGCTGCAGGCACGAAATGATCAAGGATTTCTTCGGAGACCTTGAACTTGAGAGGATGGGTTCTCAGGCCCCAAGCTCTGAAATGAAAACGGGCTCAAGTGCATCACCGTGCGACTTTGCTTGTGATTTTTGCAAGGAAGGCTCCAGGAGTCTAACGCTTCGCAAGGCAAAAATGGTTATCGAGAATGAGTTGATGGACTGTACGCAGTGGGATTACATGTCGAACATGGAGGCAATG